AAACTGGTGACACTCCCAGATACTGTTTTCAGCTAAACTGGTGGCAATGGCGCAAACCAAGCGCAGATCAAGCGCAGACCAATAGAAATACATTCTGAAAAGTTCTTAAACTCAAGATTTAAGTGTGCTACACCTCATAAATTTAAACATTGTCAGGAAGTGTAGTGCACCTACTTAGAAATCCATTTCACCATGTATTTTTCTTGGTCTGCGCTTGGTCTGCGCCTGGTCTGTGCCATTTAGCATTTGGTCGACAATGGGTAATTAAGATACCAAAGAGAACTGTATATATATAATCACATATTAATATGTTTGATTCTTTCAATCTATGAACTGTTTTTGTTGAGAAAGTGTAAAATGGCGCAGACCAGGCGCAGATCAAGCGCAGATCAAGCGCAGACCAACAGAACTACACTGTGAAATGCATTTCAAATTTAGCACACTACAATTGCTGACAACGTTCAGATTGATGAGGTGTAGCGCACTTTAGTCTTTAATTTAAGCACAGTTCACAATGTATTTCTATTGGTTTGCGCTTGATCTGCGCTTGATCTGCGCCTGGTCTGCGCCAGTTTACATTTTTTCAACAAAAACAGTTCATAGATTGAAAGAATCAAACATATTAATATGTGATTATATTTTTTGTATAATAGTTCTATTTTGTATCTTAATTACCCATTGTCGACCAAATGCTAAATGGCACAGACCAGGCGCAGACCAGGCGCAGATCAAGCGCAGACCAATAGAAATACATTGGGAAACGCGCTTCAACTTAAGGTTTGAGTGTGCTACACTCCACCAATCTAACCATTGTCAGGAAGTGTAGCGCACATACTTAGAAATCCATTTTACAATGTATTTCTATTGGTCTGCGCTTGGTCTGCGCTTGATCTGCGCTTGGTCTGCGCCGTTTTCACATGTTTTTTAAATATTGTCTCTCAAGTCGAGAGAGATTGGAACCACAGGAAAGCAAACATTTTCATTACTGGGATCATTTGTGAAGACGTATAGTCTATAATGACTGGACACTTGTTGAATCATAAACTATGTAATCGACGAACAATTTAGTACAATTTGGAGAGGTGGCGCAGACCAAGCGCAGACCAATATAAATACAAGGTGAAATGTGCTTAAACTTAAATATTTAAGTGTGCTACACCTCATTAATCTAAACATTGTCAGGAAGTGTAGCGCACCTACTTAGAAATTTAGAAACCCATTTCACAATATATTTCTATTGGTTTGCGCTTGGTCTGCGCTTGATCTGCGCCATTTTACCATTTTTTTGAAGAATATTGTTTCTCAAGTCGAGATAGATTGAAACCAAATGAATGCAACTAATTTTCATTGCTGGGATCATTTCTGAGGATCAAAGAAAATGTCGATGGTGCCTACACATTTTCAAAACCATTTGTTTTTTAATACAAGAAACAATAGTTTGGTACAATTTGGAAATGTGGCGCACATCAGTGCAGACCAATAGAAATCCATTGGTGTGCACAATTTCTGTTTGCTGCAGGTTTGGTCAATTGACCACCAAACCCAATTCATGTGTATTGATGTCTTGGATGCAGCAAGCCCTGCTTCTGTGACAGAAAGGGGGGCCAGGTTCAGAGGGTGAGAGCTTCAGGGGACCATTTGAATCATTATGGACCATGCACTTGAGGCAATGCTGGACAATGCAGAACGGATTAGTAATTTTGGGTTTCATTAGCATTTGTTGCCTTCAGGGAGCGCATAGTTTGTGAAGGCCTGGAATTGCTGCAGCTGCTGCGCCTGACATAGTTTATATCATTGTGTTTGTGAAGTGGTTCATTTTTGGGTTTTGGACATATGTTTAGCTTTTCAATCACTTTTTGTGGAGCACGCAAGCTTCAACAACTGGTTTAAGGTGGTTCTGGAAAGGCAACAGGCACATGAACCCCCGTCAGTGGGTAAACTTGTTGAACTTGATTTGCTGACTGCTTGGAAGCCATTTGGAGCTACCTCCGTTTTGACTTGAAGCAACTTAAAGCACCGCCAGTCCTAACATCGCAAATGTAACTGACTAGATACAAACAAGAAAAAACATTTGACGATTCATTTCTTAAGGGCTCAATTAGGTTTCTCATTCAATAGTTAGTAGCCTTTTAGTGGTTTTTATGTGGTTAGTTATGAGTCAATGAGGATGCTCTTAACAGCCGTGTTTGCGTGAAAGGGACAAACATGTGTTTACAATTAGGGCACTATACTGATCTGCTACTGCAATGTAGGTAGTCAGTCTTAGGAAAACTGTTCCCCTCGACAGTGACCCAAACCACAAGATGATTGTTTTTGACATTCGCATTCATAGTTGGACTGACCGGACAGTTTCACATCGGACATCATCAGCTGGGCCATGAGTCAAGTCGTCTTCGATGGTGAGCTGGTCCAGCTGTACTCTGCGGCCTGCAATGTTCGCATGACGCTCGAGCAGGCCAATCGCTTCCTTCAGATGGACCAATTGATGCATTTGGGTTAAAAGATTCACAACGCTTTTGTTTGAACTTACTTCACTTCAGGATAGTTGTCATTGTTCAATTGTTGTGATAGTCATTGATGGGTTCTGTCAGACCAGTAATAATACTTAATACCATAGAAGTTGCGCTTGTTTCGCTGACTGCTGTATTTTGTTTGTGGTACTGTCAGCATTTCTAGTAAGTATTTGACTCAGTGACGGATGGACTGGACAGACTGACTGAGGTGCGTTAATTTCTTAAAGAGATTGTCGGACCAGCATCACAGAGTGCAAGATGAATCAGAAAGCCGTCCCTTGACAATTTGTTTAACATTGCTTTGGACTGGCTGTCTGTTGGTTGCGCCTATCTGCACTTTCAGAGTTCATTCATTCATGTGCTCAGGTTCTATCCAAGAGGCTCTTTTGCAGTTTCTATGTCGGACGCTGTGGGACATCCTTTGCTGAAGTGTCTTAGTCTTGACCTGCAACAGAACTATTTGGGTTAGCTAGTAGTGATTTGGTCGTTTTGGCGAAACTCTTTTAGTGCTTAACTTCCCTGAGCATCGGTTGTTGATTCTAATCAATAAGCTCAAAATAATTGATTTTGTAGTCTTCCAAATCAATTATTTTAATTGATTTGGAAGACTACATTTTCAATATAAAAACACATTGAAAATCAATAAATCTTACAAGCTTTTCTATTGATAATATCAATAACAAAATCAATAACAAAATCAATTAGGCAATCAATGGTTTATGTCCTTTTTCATGCAATCTCTTCAAGATATGCAAGTGAAACTGATCTTTGTATTTTGTTTGTCAAAGTGCTCCACCCTTTTGCCAAGGGGTTGACACCTTTTGTCAAGGTGTCCACACCTTTTGCCAAGGTGTCCACACCTTTTGCCAAGGTGTCCACACCTTTTGCCAAGGTGTTCACACCTTTTGCCAAGGTGTCCACACCTTTTGCCAAGGTGTTCATACCCCAAGGTGTTCGCATGAAGGTGCCCACACCTTTTGCCAAGGTGTTCAACCTTTTGACAAGGTTTCCACACCTACTTGGATGGTCGGCGTGGTTGCTGTTTGTCTGTCCAGGATGGCTGGTTTACTACATTCTTCAACTTCAGTTATAAATTGCACTAACCAAAGTTATAACTCCGCAATCTCATCCAAGTAAGATAGTTAGATTGCTAACTATTTTCGGATAGTTATATGTATTTACTAAGTTTGGTAACTAGTTGCGGAAACTTATATGTTAGATATAACTGGCGGTCAGTAAGTTGTCTATGTACATTGGTTTGTTTACTAAATGAGATGGCCTATTTACATAACTAAGAAGGCTTGACTTGTAAATTGTTGGGGTTTAGTTAGCGGCTTAGTTAGGGCACACTTATAAGTGCGCGCGGGCTTGGTTGGCAAACTTGTCCCGGCCTACTTAGCAAGTTTGCCCAGCCTACTTAGCAAGTTCCCACTTTCTATTGATTAAGTCCCCCGGGGGTACATAGCAAGTGCGCTATAGTTTAGTTAGAAAGCGTGCCCGGCATATTTGGCAACTGTGGCATGCATATTTGGGAGCACTCATTGACAATATACAACCATGAATACAGACGCAATTGCAATCGATGCAAGTGCGCGCTCGTTTGGATTGACCAGGAACCGTAGGCCCTGCGATCTGCTGGTTTTCCAAAACTGTTTTTGGCTATTAATTTAAAAAGACGAGCTAGGAAAGGCAATTGGGTGGAAACGTGTCTTTTGGGAACAACGGCTGGGTGTTGCAAGGAACTTTTGTTCTGAAGTCTCACTGGGTTAATCTCGCAGATTTGCTGGGTGGTATCCATGCTCTGACTTTTGACACGTGTTTTGTGTGTGTTTTGAAGTGTGGCCATTCAACTCTTGGGTTCAAAAACTGCCTTTCTTGCATGCGCGCATTCTAGCTGTACAGCAGTTCTCATTGTTGTTTTTGGATATTTCATTCTCAAAGCGCAGAGAGGGATTTGGCCAGAGAGGGGTTTGGTCGCTTGATTGATCCTCGGCCGGTTTCTCAGTCTTCAGAGGGTCACGAGTTACATGAACTGTGTTTAGTCAATCTTGCGGGTGAAATTTGTTCATGGCCTTACGAGCGGATTGCATCCATGACTTGATGAACTCGCATGACTTGATTGTGGTTTGCATATTTGATGGTTGAGCTCGTTCAACTGGAAAGATTTGTATCAGCCCGAGGCGTTTTGTCCTGGCGCGAGGGAAGAGGGTCCAGAGGCAGGCAGTTGGGCAGGTGCTCGCTTATACTTTGTTTGGTTGTTGCTTGCATGCTGATTGAAACTTGAGCTTGTGGAGTCACATCATCGAAAGAACTTGTAAAATGTCGTCCCTTTCTGTCTCAACGCATTAGCGCCTTCTGGTTTTGAAGTGTTCATCGCGCATTGTCATGTTCATATGTGAAAGGACATGTATCAATCCCAATGGTGACAATATCATCCATGAACAATAAAATCTTGTCGATCGGTTTGCTTCACCCGCTGCCATCACGATGTTGGATTCCGACTTAGCGCATATCAGAAAAGTTTTGGAAGAGGCTCGCAAAGGGAACTTGGCGCAGAAGATGGGTGATCTCTTGACATTCTTTCAATGTCGAGGCTATGCTCATTTGCAGCAAATCTCATGCAAACATGTGGGCTGCCATGAAGCCAACCGAGACGGTCAGATGGTAGATGTGACTCATGTGCAAGACCTTTTGAAGTCCTTTGCAACTTTGGGATACGCTCCTGAAAGCTCATTGTCTGGGATTTGCATTGAGCTTGGACATGATGATGGTAGCAACACTACTCGCAAGAAGAACCAAGAGCTCATCGAAAAATCCAATGGTAAACTTGGAGGTGATACAGCCATCCTGAAATATGCTAGCGTTTCTGGATCTCACAGAAACCAGTGCATGCCATCAGTTGTTTATAGGTGCCTTTGCGACGATCCAGAGGTTGTTGTGGAGGGCAAGTGGAGCTTAGACAGGTTTGACGAGGCTTTCCAGAAAGCGTGCACCTCTGGCACGCAGTGGCTCGTGGTGAGCCGTGATGTCTTGGCCGCGTTTCCAGATTGGGCTGCGTTGCAACAGGCAGCTTCTAACGCAACGGGTCAACAGCAGAAGGTGGAGACCGAGTTGCAAGTGCTGCAGAAGATTTGCTCCATAGTGTTGTCGAAACTTGAGCGAGAAAAGATGGACAGCTTGAGTTTCAACACCATCAGTCCAGAGATCATGAGATCGAGGCCTGCCTGCAGGAATTCAATCCCTTGGCTGTTCCAGTTCGTCATGAAGTTTGGGGCAGGCTCTCCACTCCACGTCAAAAGGACTGAGGAGTACTGTTCTTCACATGGCCGCTCCAGTCGACTCCTTGGTTCAGAGTTTTGGGGCCAAATCTGCCAGGAGACGAAAACAAACAGTCTGATCGTTTGGAGGCACTTGCTCATTCGAGCCGCGTATTGCTGGCCAGAAAGAACGTTCTCGGTCAATGATGCAACAAGACGCATGTGCGCAGCAAGAGTTTTCATTTGCATTGCTGGCTTGTGATAACAAAGTGATTGTGTACCTAAGAGTTTGGTTGTTTTTGGAACGCTTGATTTGTCGTCAATGTCAACCTTGTTTGAAAGAACTGCTCGGTGGGATTTACCAGCATGATCCCATGGGAAAGACATGGACATAGATTGCATGGCTGGGACCCACTACTCTCGCCGTGGAAAACATGTGATTCATATTGAAAGGATGTTCTGCCGTTGAACGTGCGATTGAACATGTTTGTATATGACTGTATATGGATGCGCCGTTTCCTTGATCTCAGGTAAAGAAGGGTTTGACCAACAGGGAATGCGTCAAGAAGGCTTTGCACTTGCAGGAGGTTTTGAACCAGTTCGTTAGCCTCTTGGAGAAGGAAGCGGGCGTCAAGGATTGGCTTCTTTGGAAGCATGTGGGCCATTTGGGACTGGAGGGTGTGGCTCTGGTTCTGGACAAAAAGAGAATGATACATTATGGCTCCATAGAGGAAGCTGCCGTAGATCAGCTCAACAATCTGTGTGAAGAGGCTGGCATCTCACATGTGACAAGCCCATGGGTGGTGAAAAAGGAAGACGCCAAGACAGCCCCATGCACATCATCAAAAGCTACTGGAGAGTTCCTTGTTCTTTGCAATGGATATTTTTTTGGGGGGGGTGACAAGTGGGGACAAGTGAGACTTTGTAAACAACTTGTGTTTCCCGATGTCGCTTCAAAGAAAACTATGTCAAGGGTCCTCGTGCAGTATGACAAAGACGGGGCGCCAGTGAATCAGCACACATTGGTGCAGGCAAAGGGCTTCCGAGATGGATGCATGATTCAACGGTTGGATGACACAGTTGCCAAGATTATCACCGTTGACAAGGATGGTGTCACTATGTTGATTGAATGTGAGAAGCCTTACCAGGCCAAAGCATCGCTTCAATCCTTCCTGGATGGGGAATGGAAGTTGAAAAAAAAACGCACGCCCAGGAGCTTGTCCCGTGGACCACCGCATGTCAGCCAAGCGTTAGCAAAGAATTCTTTTTTTGCTTGCGTGAAGGCGCAGGTGCAAATGGAAATGTTCGAGCAGCTCAAAATGCCCAAAATGAAGCATTTCCTTGGTTTGGAGATCTACAAAGGTCCAAGAGATGTGAAGGTGTCCAGAAGCTTCAAGTCAGGGGAGCTGGTGATCCCATGCAGCACTTGCAAGGTGGTCATCGCTCCTGAAGTGAAGGATGCCTTGGTGATCGGCCAGTGTAGTCATGGCGGGGATACCTTCCTCGTGGCTTTGGCGCCATTGACCCAGTGGCCAAAGGAGGACGACGAGAGCGGGTTTTTGAACCCGTTTTGGCTGTTACCGGAGTCCTGTGAAAAGGACGAAGCCAGTTGCGAGATTCAGGATATCAAACTGAGTCAGGACATTAGCCCTACCAGCAAAGTGCTCCTTCCAGTAATCAAAAACCTATCTCTGCTTGAGGCCGGTGACAGTTGTGTGTTGTTCAAGGAAAACAAGAAGAAACGCATGAGTCCCTTGGAGGCAGTGGATCCTCCGAAGAAAAGGATTAAGCCAAAGAAGTGAACATATGTCAAGCTTTGCAGTGTTGCCAGAGGGGCCCTATACATTCTTCTGGCGCGAAGGCAAAGTGCCTCGGAACGATATACTTCCAAAAGGTATGAGCGGCGCGCGCAAAAAAGGTTTGAGCGGGCCAAATTTCCATGTTGTTTTTTCGATATGTTGTTGATTAAACAGTTTTTGTGTTGAGATGACGAAAACGTCTATATGGGACACTCAGGTTGTTTGGACAGAGTACATGTCGCGTAGGTGCGCGTGTCGGTATGATTCAACTTGACTGGATTCGTGTTGGTGTGTTTGTTGTTGGCGTGCCAATGACGGTTTATAGGTAACGCAGGATTGATGTTAAGCTAACATCCCCCACTGCGTAAAAGATTTTTAAGTTTCAGTAGATAAGCGCATGTGTCCGTCAGGTGCGTTCTGAATGAGCACATAAGTATGACGCACGTGTGTACATCAAAAGCTAAAAGTTCACAAGCGGTGTGAAACACACTTTGTGTACCAAAAGTTAAAAATGTTTTAATACAATCAAAGCTTTTAAAAACGACAGTCTTCAAGCAAACGGGAAATACAAACGCGGCCGCGGCTTTACCGTTCAAGAAGCGGGAAGGGCGGGTGGGCG